CCCATATATAGTTTCGTCCGATTTCATGTAAATGGTGCCCCAAAGCCCCTATATATCTTTCGATTTGCACAAAATTTGGCATAACGTACTGAATTGAGTCTAGAGTGATGTCTGCCAAGTATCGAGAAAATCGGTCCAGATTTAGATATAGCTCCCATATATAGTTTCGTCCGATTTCATGTAAATGGTGCCCCAAAGTCCCTATATATCTTTCGATTTGCACAAAATTTGGCATAACGTACTGAATTGAGCTAGAATGATGTCTGCCAAGTTTCGAGAAAATCGGTCCAGATTTAGATATAGCTCCCATATATAGTTTCGTCCGATTTCATGTAAATGGTGCCCCAAACTCCCTATATATCTTTCGATTTGCACGAAATTTGGCACAGCGTAATGAATTAAGCCTGGAGTGATGTCTGACAAGATTCGAGAAAATTGGTCTAGATTTAGATATAGCTCCCATATATAGTTTCGTCCGATTTCATGTAAATGGTGCCCCAAAGTCCCTATATATCTTTCGATTTGCACAAAATTTGGCATAACGTACTGAATTGAGCCTAGAATGATGTCTGCCAAGTTTCGAGAAAATCGGTCCAGATTTAGATATAGCTCCCATATATAGTTTCATCCGATTTCATGTAAATGGTGCCCCAAAGTCCCTATATATCCTACGATTTGCACGAAATTTGGCATAACGTACTGAATTGAGCCTAGAGTGATGTCTGCCAAGTTTCGAGAAAATCGAAATAGTCCTGTTTAATATACCCATAGTGGTGAAGGGTATCATATAGTCGGCCCCGTCCGACTTTACTACTTTCCTTACTGGTTTTTTAATAAAATTTGTCATTCCGTTTGCAATACATCGAAATAATCACCAGAAACCCTATCCCCCTGACTTTTGAAATCAAGATAAAGATTGCAATATTTAAGATGATGCTTTGAAAGTTTGCACTGGCTTTGCTGTTACTTCTAGAATGGTATCCCCAAATATTTGGTATTGTGGAAATTTTTGACTCGTTTTGTAACCGAATTGGTTGTAATTAGTTCTCGTTGGGTATCAAATCTTCCAACCAAAAATAATCAATAGGTTAAATTTTTTAGGGGCTAATCATATAACGGTTTCTCATAGTATTCGGTATTTTGGCCTGTTTTTCAACTGAATCATCTGCAATTTAGAATTTTTGAAATTTTGCATAGTGAATTGCAAAATTTCTTTTAATTGGAGCTCCTAGGAGTCCATAGAACATGTAAATTGTGCACCGATCTAGATTATATTTTGGACAATGCACTGTACTGCAGCATACCAAATAGTGTATAGCTCCCATATATAATTTTGCTTGATTTCATACAAATGTTAAACTAAAGAACCCAAATCTGCCCAATGCTATTTTCATAGATTTCAGAATGGTATACATACCATTTTAAAATGGGTTGGGTCGATTTATTATAAATATAGGTCCACTTTTTCTGATAGCGCCCATATAACAGTACCCCCTAACTTGATTCAAATTGTCCGTTCGCATGATATTATAAAATTACTTTTTTGCACAATTTTGAAAATAGAGGAACATACCAAAAAATTGGACCTATACCGACAATTCTACAAACCAATTTACGTAATCGATAATGTACACCAAATACAAATTTCAACAATTTTTAATGGAGATTTTTCATAAAAATCCCAAAAAGTTGATCGATCACAGTTATATCAGGTCGTCACCAACGTTCACAGATTTTATTTCGGGGGTATTGGTGGAAGTTGCCGGTTCTATTGTTATTGCAGAAAATAATTGTACGCGTACGTCGCTGGAGAGTATACCTATTGCGGGGCCAATATTTATTACATCGTGTAGGAATATCGAAACATTTGTAGTTATCATTATATGAGGTGCTATACCTAATTAAGGACTGATATAGCTCAATTTCGAAACTAACAATTTTACATCACAATACCTTCTAAATCTTAAAACCAAACTCAGAACGCGGAACAAATTACAGCGACTTTGCTTAAAAACGCGCTGAAGAACCCAAAAATACGGAAAATACCCTTATATGGGGGCTACCCGAAAAAAATTGACCTATGTTTATAATTTTTAGTGAAGAGATCTGCTACCCAATAATAACTTAATGTACTGAATTACAGCTAATTCGGTCGAAAACGCATCAAAACACCTAAAATACTGAAAATTGGTGGGTACCGTTATATGGGGGCTACCCGAAAAAATTGACCTATGCTTACTTTTGGTCGACAAATTTGGTACCAATAAAAAGCCAATGTACCAAAATTCAACGAATAACCCCAAAATACAGAAAATTTAGGGTTACCCTTGTATGGAATCATCATATGGGTTCGAAATGGTTGTTTCGATGAGTTACACAGTATCTTCATCTTCAATTCGAATAATGTGCAATAAAACCACGTTTAATGTAATTTTATACGCTGTTGACGATTATTCCTTATTAGATTCAAAACTTTTTGATATGACTTTCCAAATTTCATCTTATTGCTTACATATACAATTTAAATACAGATAGACGGACGGACATACATCGACTCATATTATATATTAGAAATATAAATACAATCGGGTACGGTTATAGCGAACTCGTGCGGACCAAGCAAATTAGTTCCTTATAGAAAATGTCCCTTATATCCAAGGTGAGGCAAATTATAGGCTTACCTGAACAAATATATATTCAGTTAGAAATTTGGTAGTTTTTATGTCCTTTCTGATAATTCTTAAAATGCTTATCCTTTTCTTTAAATAATCTCACATTACAGCTGACATTTTTTGTAAAGGCTGCCAGCGTTAAAATACGAGGGCGGTTCAGAAACTTCTTAGCCTATCACTGAAAGATAATTGTTAGTTTTACAAAAATATTTATATTTTTCAATATAATCTCCTATAACTTCAATACACTTAGTTCAACGCTTGGCTAGCAATTCTATCTCTTGATTAAAATAGTTTTCCTCAAGGTCTTCAAAAATTAATCGAATCTTCATTTGAGGTAAAAGGCTTGCCAGCAAAAATTTTTTTTAGATTTGTGCCAGGATTTGTGTAAGCCAGGACGTTTTTCTCGAATTTGTACATTTAATTGATCCAAAAGGTTGAATTTATTGTTTTACCCTTTTGCAGATAGTCAATCAATAACCATAACCTTACCAGCCGATTGAATTGTTTTTGCCTTCTTTGGGGCACTTCCTCCAGTTTCAGTCCACTGTTTGGATTGTTCTTTTGTCTCTGGAGTATAGTGATGGATCCATGTCTCATCAATAGTTATGAAACGACGCTTATAATGATCCAAAAAAGCTTGAGAATTGCTCGACTGTTAACAAATGCGGCACCCACCTTGCAGCAAGCTTTTTAATCTGTAGTTCTTCATGCAAAATTAAATGGACTCGATCATTTAATACCATGTCAATTTGTTGGACGTCCACTACGTGGTTCACCTTCTATTCACATTCACCATATGATATATTTAATGACAGCACGCATTTCTAATTATACCCTTCACCACACTGTGGTACAGGGTATTGTGTCTTTGTGCATATAAGGAATCGAGATACACCCATGGTTCCTTTTGAGTCGATTTATGCATGCCCGTCTGTCCATGTATTTTTGTGAACAAAGTATAATCCCATTTGGATGAAGTCGATTCAGATTTAGATATAGCTCCCATATATAGTTTTGTCCGATTTTATGTAAATGGCGCACCGAGGAGTCTAAGTTTGTTCATTTTATGTAAATGCTGCACCATAGATCCTGTTCTATTTCAACGATATTTTGTTCTTGAAACATGTTCAGATGTATATATAGAGCTCCCTCATATAATTTTGTCCGATTTTAAGCAAATGGTCCAAATGGAGGAGCCTATGATATAGCTTCCATATATATTTTCATCCCATTTCATCAAAATGATGTACCAAATAACTAAGGTACGTCCGTTAGGACGAATTTGTGCACAACGTACCAAATCAAACCTAGAATAACATGTATTGGTATGTGTATGGGATGTTTTAATTTAGTTCAAATATCGATGTACTTCACGCAGTTAATTTCGTCCTATTCCATTTCAATGGTCCTCCATAGATGCTATGCCTATTCTACCTAAAGGAAATTGTACATATGAGCATCTCTTGTATGTACCCAAAGTAGTGAAGGGTATCATATAGTTGGCCCCGTTGACTTTTGAACTTACTCACTGCGTTTTCCATTACAAAAAAATTGCGGATGCGTCTTTTTTGAACACCTGTTTCTATATGAAGGAGTTGTCAGATCGAAACAAAATTTAACATAACTAACAGAGATGGAAGATTCCAAAACACTTTTTTCTGTTTATACACTTTCGCTTTTTGTGCTAGGCTAAGAACTTTCCGAACTGCCATTGTATATGAGAAATCTCGTTATAACCGGTGTTCGTTATATGCGTACTCGACTGTATATGCACAAAGACATAATACCCTGTACCAACGTGTGATGAAGTGTATAAACAATTCATATGGTTTTGATACCTAAAAGTATGCTACAGTTTATTGCCAAGTTAAAAGTTATTTTTTGTGTAGACTTGAAATGTTTCATTTTACGAAGATTGCAAACTGCAAGGTAATGAAAACTTCTGAAGTTTTGTATAAAAATAAAAAAGCATACATTTTTTTGCAGTGTTTTTTAATTGGAATAATTTATTTTGATGTTGAATGTGTAACGAGTTAGAATGTTTTTACTTTATGATCTGCAAATACCTGGGTTATAATATGTTGTGTATGTACATTTTGTTATGTGTGTAATTTCAAATGTAATTTCTCTGAAGTATTATTATTGTTATGAATGGGGAAAATATCAAGTTGTTAGAAGTGAAGGGAAACGACATTGATATATGTCTGACTTTATTTATCTACATACAGACATTTTAAAATACCTAACATTAATTTGAAAACGTTGATAAATTGGTTGATATTATATTAAAAATATATTTATTTATTTTTCAGATAAATTGACAATATGGATTTTATCTTAAGCCATTTACATCGGCCGAAGCGAGAGGCCAATTTGAAAGAATTTTTATCACATCTCTTCGTAGATTGCATGGTAAAGTACAAAAACCAATCACAGCAGAATAATGAATCATCAGCAAGTACAGGTAATTTACTATCTCTCTACAAAGTTTAAAGTTCACATAGCCTTTGTTTCATTTTGATTGATAAACAATTCCAACTAAAATGTCAAATGAATTGTAGCTATCAAATTAGTGTCACTCATTGCTGGCAATTGTTATCACGTGTTACTTTAGAAATGTATTCACATTGTCGTTGTCATCAATGTCTTCTTCTTTTTCTTTGTCTTTCATTGCAGAATATCCAACAGCCATACCACGTTCCATAGAAGATGCCATCGTAAATGAAGGATCCATCGATATTGGAAATGTCGATGTGACCGAGGCAGAACGTAATGAACTGTACGCCACAATAAGTGCAGCAACACTAGCAACACCAAATCTAATTACACCACAAACTGATGCACCACCATCTGATGGCACTACATCATCATCGACCCTAGAATATTCCACAGCCCTATTGCTAAATGTAAGTGGAAAGGGTTCGACCACAACAACACCATCTACAACACCCGCTGGAAATGGACAGTTGTTTTGTCCATTACGTTTCGACGGTTATCTGTGTTGGCCACGTACCCCAGCTGGCACAGTGTTAAGTCAGTATTGTCCGGATTTTGTTGAGGGATTCAGTAGTAAATTTCTTGCCCATAAAACGTAAGTATCCTGTTCGACATGTAGGAAAAAAATACATGCATTGGGGCAACAAAGTAAACCTTGGAGGTTGGTCTTTCATTGCGTTTTTTTCGTCGGCATCGTCGTGTCTGAAAATTGTTTGTTGGCGCTGTGGTGGATCCCACAGCATATTCGAGTGGCTAACCTTTGGACTGTGAATGCTTTTAAGATATTATTACCTAGTAAGTTTGTAGGTCGAAACTGCTGCGATGTTATATCACTGTTACTTACATAAGACCGTTAGGCATAACCAAAAATGTTTTTTTTTGTTTCGTTTTGCTCAGAAGAGACTTAAAGGCATTTGTTTGTATTCAGACAACGTTTTTCGAACATTTCTTTTAATTGTTTCAATTATTTTTATTTTTGCAATTTGAGAACTTGCAAGCCATAAATACATTTTATATTATTACATAATGTTTCGCAGACTTGCAAATGAATATAAAAAGTTTAATTTGGAATTTGAGAAAATATGTTTTTGTGTAAGAAGAACATTTGCAAATATTAAGTTTTATATTAGATTATATATTTAAAGTCCAATATTATTGCACACTAGCTGACCCGAAATCGTTGTTTGCCATATCAAAATTGCGTAAATATGAGGTTGTTAAAAATTAACGAATTAATGGAAAAGTAGGAAACCTATAAACACATTTCTATTGAAGTTTACACTGTCATCAACACTTCAAGTTATCGAAGAAAGGAATTGTTAAAAAAATATTACACTTTTTTTGACAAATATGAATGTGATATTTAATTTCCAACAACTTGGGTTCTGTAGAAGATGAAAACAAATGAAAAAAGCGTTAAGTTCGGCCGGGTCGAACTGTGGATACCCTCCACCATAAGAATACTGACAGATTTTTGATATGAAAATATAGGGAACATACCACAAAGTGGACTTATAACGACAATTCTACCAATCGATTGTTGTAAACCAAATACGAATTTCAGCAATTTCAATGAGGATTTCCCCTAAAATCTCAAAACCCCAAAAGGTTGACCTATATTATTAATGCATGAAAATACTGCTATTTAGAGGGCAAATTTATATGAGGCATACTAAAGTGGGAACAATATTGACAACATTTTGTAGTAATTAGCGAATAGCTCAAGTTCCAAGGTAATATTTTAGTTTTGAATCCCAATACCTTTCTTCACGATAATTTTATATAGAACTAACCCTAAATGCGGTCCTTTATAGTTCATTCCGAAACCTAACGTTTTAGTTTTTATGTCGATATCCTCCGATAGAGAACTCATTACAACATATGGCTAAATCGTTCGAAGATGGGTATAGATGTAGGGTATAAACTTAAAATTTCGTCTACAGAATATCCCGCATACTATGGTGGAATACAGCTATATAGAGCCAACTCCAAAACACGGAACATACAAATATTTTTTGTTGGGAGATTTATTACCAAATACGAATACTAAATATGAAATTACAGCGAATTTGGTTGAAAAACGCTCTCAAAAACCCCAAAATACCGACAATTGGGTGTACAGTTATATGGAGTTATCAGAAAAACTGGACCTATATTTATAATTTTATGTGGAGAACTTTAAAACCCAATAAAAACTCAATGTACCAAATTTCAACGAATTCGGTTGAAAAACGAAAACGAACCCATAATCCGGTAATTGGGGGTAACGCTAATGGGGGCTATCAGAAAATGTGGACCGATATTTACAATTTCTAGTAGGAATATTTGGTACCCAATAAGAACCTAATGTACCAATTTTCAGCGAATTTGGTTGAAAAGCGCTCTTAAGAACCCCAAAATACTAAATATTGGGAGATGTGGGCTACCAAAAAAGTGGACCTATATTTATAATTTTTAGTGGATAAATTTGGTACCCAATAAAGGTTCGTATTTGATTTGTTCCAAAGATATTGTTACTTCATAGAATGTATAACGTAATACGTTTTGTAAATTTTTTATAAAATCAAGATTTGTATCAGAACCTAAAATGGACTTAAACCACTTTCAAAATAAACGACTCTTATACTAACACGTCCATCACAAATATTCGATATAACATAGGTTTAAATGATGTTTAAAAATACGTCAACAAATTAGCGATATATGGAATGTATTATTGAATATTTTTCAAATTCGGGAAGTATGTATTTAAAGTCGAGGTAATTTCTCTTTAGATGCTTTTTTATGTTTAACTTACATGTGCCTTGAATATATATTCCATGATTTGAAAAATGTTTCCAATGATTTGACACACATTTTCCTCCATTTTCAACCAAATTGCATTGAGATGGTTGTGACTCAAGAACTTCTGCAAAAGTACTTATGAATCGTATGTGGTCAGAATAAGAAAATATGCAAACAAATTCCCCCTTTTGTGAGGGAGGTACCCCAAGGAGGGGACCAATGAGTCCCATATTCGGACTTGACCTAGGCTTGATCACTTTTAGGTTAACCCCTATATCAGGATAACTCCAAAATTTATATTTAAGGTATTTAAAACGTGTAAAAAGTTCGATTCGGCCGACCTTCATCACCTTATTACTTGTTTACAAAAAATCCATTTACCTATTGGGAACCCGTAATAAAAAATAACATTTCCTTGGTTGAGTTAGAACCTTGATAGGAAAAGGTAGTAAAATTTGTAGGATGTAAATAAAAAAAATCGAAATACAAATTTTGTACCTCTTTACTTGATCTAGACCCGTAAAAGTACTATCAAGCTATAAAGAAAGTTTATAGGTACAAAGCATATTGCAGATCCAAAAATTAAGTTTTAGTTTTAAATTTTTGGTTTCATTTCATACAGTGAACTCTCGATAATGCGAACACTAAAACTGGCATTAAAGTATAGAAAAAATTGGGGAATTAGCGGTAAATAAGGTGGTCTAATCGAAAATGTGAACAAATTCGAAAAGATGAACTATGCCGACACACTATCGAGAGTTCATCTGTTTTGCATGTTCACATTATCGAGAGTTCACTGTATTTCATTTCCATTGCAGATGTTTAGAAAATGGCACATGGTATCATCATCCAGACAGTCAACAGGAATGGTCAAATTACACAAATTGTATAGATTATGAGGATCTGGAGGTAAGATAAGCAATTTTCTTACGACACCATATTAAATTGAATTCCTGTTTTTTAATCTCCCACACTCCCGAAACTCACAATTTTCATCGTATCTTTTCATGAAAATCAGTTTCGCACATTTGTCAATGAGCTGTACGTCAAGGGCTATAGTGTATCCTGCGTGGCGTTATTTCTGTCACTTATTATATTTTTGGGTTTCAAGTGAGTAAACAAAATTGAAAATTTGTATGAATTTTACACACAAATCCATTCTATCAATCTGTCAATGTAAATATAATTTTGTGGATTTCCAATTAATTCTGCAAAGTAATGAACAATGGTGTTGTTGTCATTTTGTGTTTCAGATCTTTGCGTTGCACTCGAATACGTATTCATGTTCATTTGTTTGCATCGTTGGCATTCACATGTATCACCTGGATTATGTGGTATAAACTGATTGTTGAAGATCCACAGATAATACGTGACAATCCGGTAAGATGAGAAACTTGTTGTGTCTGTGTGTTTTTTATTATTAATTGAAAACTTTAAAGTTTGTTTGATTGATGATGTTCGAAGCAAAGCCTTGTGGTATTTTGTTTATACACACAAGTAATAATGAAAACATTATGTGTTTCTTCCTTTTATATTTCTGAATCATGGCAAACAATTCCCAGTACTGGTGCATAATATTGCATTTGGTCATTCACTATTTCATGCTGGTCAATTACTTTTGGATGTTCTGTGAGGGATTACATCTCCATTTGGTCTTAGTTGTGGTAAGTCCAAAGTACAACAATTTTAATATCTCAAATGTCATGTTGGGTGTGCATGTGTATTTGTAAAGTGTATCCAAAATTTAATATTGATTTTGGAATCTGAATTGTTTCATAAGTCAAATGTTGTATTGTTGTTACGGTAAACGATTGAAGATATAACTATGTGATAGAATGCCCCAGATTCTAACACGATAGGTGCCGAGGAAAGATGCTGTTCTGGATGGTTAATATGTGTGGGTTTTCTTTAAGGCATAGATATAATATTTACCAGGCATTAGTGAGTATTTCTTACACCCCATTTCTGGAATTCAGTTATCAAACCGGTTTACAATGGAAAGTCTTATAATACTTTAAACAAGTTGGTAAATAATAAAACTACGAACCACATGACGTAGGTTGTCAAAATTTGGCTATATAGTATATACACAAAAAATTACCCAGAAATGGTTATTTACCCCATTTACTCAATTTGACGGATATTTACATCTTGCCCAAGTCTATTCATGGGTGTTTATAGATTGCTTAACAATATGAGTTTGAAAATATTTCAGGGATCCAGACTTCCAAAACCACGGAATGAAATTTTGGAGTAACTTCGGTGAAAATGTAGATTGAACTCGGAATTCCAAATTTTCCGGTGGGAGAGTATTGGTAAAAGCTACAAATTATTAAGTAAAAAATCTCTTGTCGAGATTCCGTACAAACACTCCTCAGAAACGGATGAACCTATTTTTATCAAGCTTATATTATTATTTTTATACCCTCAGCCTTATGTCGATTTACGCGCGTCTCTCCGTCTGTTAAAATCACGATAGAGGTCGCAATATTTAAGACAGAGCTCTAAAATATTGCGCATATATTGCTAGTACTCCTAGGATGTTTGGTATTACAAATGGGATATATCGGTCCACGTTTCAGGGTAGCCCCCATATAAGTGGTGCCAATTTTCAGATTTATCACTATTCTAGACTTAATTTAGTACGCTGTGCCAAATTTCGTGAAAATCGAAAGATATATAGGGGCTTTGGTACACAATTTACACTAAATCGGACGAAAATATATATGGCAGCTATATCTAAACTGAACGGATTTTTTCGGAACTTAAAACAGATCATTCTAGACTTAATTTAGTACGCCATACCAAATTTCATGAAAATCGAAGAATATATAGAGACTTTGGTGCACTATTTAGATAAAATCGGACGAAAATATACATGGGAGCTATATCTAAATCTGCTGTATTTTGGAGTTGACATTCAAAATATCTACAATTATGGGATTCTTAAAAAATCTCATGTTACTTGAAAAAATGTCTAAAGTCGCCAAAATTCTGGTCAATATTAAATATAATACGTCATGCCAAATTTCCTGCAAATCGAAAGATATATAGGGGCTTTGGTACACCATTTATATAAAATATATGTGGGTACTATATCCAAATTTGAACCGATTTTTCCCAATTTCAATAGGGTTCGTCCTTGTGTCAAATAAATGTGCTGTGCCAAATTTCATCCAATTCGGATCATAAATGCGACCTGTACTTTGTTTACAATTTAACAATGACAAACCCTATTGAAATTGGAGAAAATCGGTTAAAGTTTAGATATAGCTCCCATATATATTTTCGTCCGATTTTATATAAATGGTACACCAAAGTCTTTATATTTTCTTTTGATTTACAAAAAAAAATGACCATATCGTACTCAATGTCATGTGTTAAGTTTCGTTGAAATCTGTTCAGATTTAGATATAAAACATACGACATATGTTTTCGAAATTGTATAACTAATATGTAACGTTTGATTGATTGCACTGCGGATTTCATACAAATGATACACCAAGTATTCTGAATCAGCCCAATTGATATGTAATCACTACTTTTGTCCGATGAAATGAAATCTACTTTTGTCCGATTTCCAGTAGGTAACATTTATTAGAGAAGGACGTATGTTGTATTAGAGAAGGTTTATATTGGAATACATCTGATTGTATCATACGATAAAAATTTTTAGAGCATCTCTTGTTCATACCCAAAGTGGTGGACGATAACATATATTTTCTTGTATATATGTACTTTATGGGGTCTCCGAAGAATATTTCGAAGGCCGGACTGTCAAATTAAAATAGGTACATTTAAAATATAACATTAGTTCTTCGGACATACCAAACATGGTGTTGCGAACAGATTTATATTTTAGAATATTATTTACTCTTACTCCCAAAATCATCGACATGTCATCATCGATTTTTTTATTATTCAACATTGTGACTTCGATGGGGACTATGAAATAGTAATATTAATTAATACTTTTGGAACAGCCACGCCAAGTGTATCAGCTTGTGGCTATAATATGTCGCTGTGTTAAATTGTAGGCTCTGGCAAAAACTGCATGCTTTCCCTTTCCCCTAAATTAAAAATTAACGATGAATTCTTTAGTATCCATTATGTTTTCCACCAAAGGTTTTTGTCAAGGACACCATTGTTATGCGTTGGTTTAAAATCTTCTCCTGGCTTTCGCCGTTGATTTTTGTGGCAGCATATGGAGTGGCGAGATATTTCCATCCTGAAGATAATAAACAGTAAGTAATTAATCACAACAGAGGCGTAACGAAAATCTCATATCCTGTGTGATTTACATTTGTTTTCCCATTAAAATAGTTGCTGGATGAATGATAGTTTTTTGCTATGGATATTCTCGGTGCCGGTGTGCATCTCCTTGGTTTCTAGTTTTTGTGAGTTAATTATATATCAAATATAACTGAAATCTACTTTATTGTTTTAGACTATAACAATTTCCTGTAATCATAAAAAGGCAATAAATAAATCGATTTGATTTTCCATTACAGTTTTTCTGATTAACGTCCTGCGCGTTATTGTACGAAAATTACACCCACAATCGGCCCAACCGGCACCATTGGCCATACGCAAGGCTGTAAGGGCAACTATTATTTTGGTAATGTATTCCCCAAATTACAAACATTCATACTTATGTGGATATATACACCTGTAGTCGATTTACGGTCATTGGGTTGTAAAATTAATTTCCCCCCTGTGTTTTCTTTGACTTTTATTGACAGGTTCCTCTCTTTGGGTTACAACATTTTCTATTACCTTATCGTCCGGATTCAGGCACACCTTTGGAACGTTTCTATCAACTGTTGTCTGTCATTTTGGTTAGCCTACAAGGCTTTGTGGTGTCGTTCCTATTCTGTTTTGCCAATCATGATGTGACATTTGCTGTGCGCAGTCTTTTGAATCGTTTGATGCCCAGCATCGTTTCACCACCGCCACCCACCAGCAGTACCGGTCAAGTGGCTACAACAACTCCTAGTCGGGAATTAGGTGTTTAAGGGGGTCGATATTGAGAGAAATTAAAATCCTGATTAAAACAATGTAACCCTCCACTAACAGGTGTACAACCTTTATCGTCCCAAATTAATGTTAGGAATAAGAATACATCTAATATTTGTACCTATTACATTCTTAAGGAGGTTAATTTGTTAACGTTTCCTACTCTAAATGAGAGTATAAACTATGTTAAAGTATTTCTGCATTTATTTTTCAACATTTTTGTTTACTTATTGTGATTATTGAAAATTTATACTCCATATATTGTATTGTAATAATTAAAAAAAATGTATTATTCGTAGATGTGTAATGCGTAAATATGTATGTATATCATTTGTCAATGAAATGTGTATAATGTAAGTGAAAATATAAATTCTCGTTATATTTATGTATGTATAATAAATTAATTATAACTAATGACACGCTTTTAATTATAATAATGGAAATGGTTTTAAATTCGAAAAGGGTAAGTTTATATATTTATACCCTTCACCATACTGTGGTACATGGCAAAAATAATCGAGATAGACCCTTAGTTGATTTTGAGAATATGCATAGAATCACTTTCTGAGTCGATTATTTTGTGATCCGATTTGGATGAAATTTGGCACAGTTCACTTATTTGGCCCAAGGACGAATCCTATTGAAATTGGAGAAAATCGGTGCAGATTTACATATAGCTGCCATATATAGTTTCGTCCGATTTAATGTAAACGGTCCTTACATATCTTTCGATTTGGACGAAATTTGGCACAGCGCACTGAATTAGGTCTAGAATGATGTGAATTTCTTAAAAATAAGTTCAGATTTAGATATAGCTCCTATATATATATATATATATATATTCGTCCGATTTGAGATGAATGGTGCACCAAAGTCCCTATATATCTTTCGATTTGAGCGAAATATAGCATGGTGTAGTCAATTGAGTCTAGAATGACGTGTGCCAAATTTCGAGAAAATCGGGTCAGATATATATATATATATATATATATGTATATAGCACCCATAGCATATATATATATATTTGTTCTAATTTAATGTAAATTGTGCACTAAATACCCATAGTACAGAAGTTACTATAATTGAAAGTTCTACACGTTGAACTATTTCTGAGATCCTATTTTATAAATTTTTAATAATAAATAATACTCTTTTCATAAAAAAAAGAATCAGTTTTTCTATATCATCGTTTTTTATATCCCCAAACTTGTGCAGCCAAACATGGGCGACGTATATCATTATATCTCGTTGGTGGATAGATATCTTGACCATGTAGAGTTTTTAAATATTTAAAAGCCAGAGATTGCTTGTTTTTTATATGTTTATTGAAAGATAAGTTATAGGTCAAATCAACTCCCAGGTATTTATAATAGTTCACAATTTCAATATCCTGATCACCAAAATGCCAATTAAGATCTCTTAAAATTCTCGGACCTTTTCTAAAGACATTTATTTTTGATTTTGAGATGTTGACTTTAAGGTTCCACATGAGGCAATAGTCCCATAGTACATCAATCATTTCCTGTAGTCCATGAGGCGTGTTTGATAATATGACAATATCATCAGCATACAGTAAAATTTTTAAGTTGGTATTAGCAACATTAAGTCCGCCTGGAAGAATTTCATGTAGATCATTTAGGTATAGTGAAAATAACATTGGACTGAGCATACACCCCGGCTTTACACCCGAGTCTATTTCAAGAAAGGATCAAAACAGAAAGGAATACAACAACTGATTTTTTGGTCATAACTATCCAACAGTAATACGCTAAAATGCTTCACAAAATCAAACGCACTGAGATCACCTATATTAGAAATGCTACGATCTTTTAATGTTTTGGACAATTGCCACCAGTCTTTGCTACATTTTACAGAATGAAGTTTCCTTAAATTATTGTTGTAGTATTTCATTTTGTTTTGTTTGCTCACATTTTTAAAGTTAACACGGTCTCTGGAATATCTATGTCTATTTGCTGCCGAATGATTACTCCTATATTATTTTAAATGTTTGCGGACAACAGTCCGGAGACGGTAACACCGCCAATCGAACCATTAAATATGAATACCTATTTTCAAATATTAAGTTGGAATTATAAGTCACTCATCAAACCCCATATTGCAGTACGTTGGTCAGAAGTCTCAAGTGCCATCAAGTGTAGTCCCTTTTATACTGCTTTGCAAACTCCATATAGATAGTTTTCTACATGTACTTTCCTATATTGTATTACAATCCTATGTTGATAATTTTGGTGGGGGCAGCGAAGCGCCAAGGATTTAGCTAGTTGAATATACATTTCAATATGTTATACATGTTATACAACACTTTATTATACAATTCCATTCTCACATAATTTATGGTGTAAAATCTTCATATGTAATACCTTTGGCGGAAAGTTTTTCCAAAATCCAAGTACGTAAATACGGGACATTTGCATAAATACCAGGAACATTTTGCTGGCCACAATCGGTACCCCATGCCACAATGCCGGCCTGATAAAAACGTCCTGCTGTACCAGGCACTGGACATACCAACGGTGATCCTCCATCACCTTTGCAGGTGTCTTTTCCCTTTTCACCACCCGCACAAATAAAACTTGCATGCAGATTAAAACGCGGTCCCAAACGAGTCTGCCGCAAATTATCTTCACACTTATCACGGGGAACTATAGGTAAATCTATTTTCTTTAATAGCGTCTGATATTAATCTTCCTTTTTGAATTTATCCTTTCCCCAACCAGTAGCATAGCAACGTTGATTATCAAAATTTATATTAGATTCTGGTAGACAGATGGGACGAATATGCTCCTGCCATTCAAAGGGTTCATTTAGTATCAGTAAAGCAACATCATTATAGACGGCGCCTTTGTGGAACTTTTCGTGTCGGATAATTTCATAAACTCGCCGATCGACATGGGGTAAAATTTCGTCTGTGTTTTGAGTATCCCATTCACCGGCACGGACAGTGAGCTCGTTAGGTTTACGATTGATGACACAATGAGCACCGGTCAAGACCACATTTTTGGCTATCAGTGAACCACCACAGGCATACATAAATAAAATTTCCCCATTAACATCCATGCTACGTACTCTGTCCACCATCCAAGGGAATTCAGCAAAATCGGCTTCATCTTCGTTGGTGACGTGCATTTTAAAACCATAACCTTCTTCGTTTCGCCAACCACAACCTTGGTGTACTTCGGGGGAAATGGGTGGTACGACGGGAACAATTGTCTACAAAACAAGAAAATGGTTACATATATTTATAATTTTAAAACATATTTATAAAGACCACAAGCTTAAAAAGATTTTTTCTCCACAATTTGTAGTGATTTAGTCACCTTAGTATCCGATACTTGGGTAGTTGCATTCGTGCTGTTAATTAAATCGATTAACGACATTCCCTGACCATGAACATGACACATCAGAAATGCTAAACACAACCACGCAATTGTCACTTTGACCGTCATGTTTCCAAGCTGTTTTGTAACTAAATTTAGAATTTGGAATTCTCTTATTTTTTACAGATCTATGTGCGGGCAGATGATGAATAACGCAAACAATGGGACCGCTCAACTAGCAATGTGGAATTTTATGCTACTGATAACGTTGCGGTGATTTTCTTAAACTAAACTGCCCGTCATATCAGTAATGTCAGATATGGTCCGTCAGAAATATTGACGTAAATTAAATATATTTCCGACGTATGTATTATACTCGTGCAAAACCATTAGGATTTCTTGCAAAAATTTTTTTTAAAGAAACGACTGGTAGTCTGTAATTGTAGTGGAAAAGTTTTAATGAAAGAAGATTTTGAGAAAAATCCGCGAAAATTCTTGCAGCAAATGAGTGATATATTAGTTTTCTCTGCGATACATATTATTAGTATCGGAAAATGCGGTATTGAGTTTATAAGTTCAAAGGTACTAACCAACGATTATGCAAATAACCACCATCTATTGGTGGCATCTGATTTCCCGTGGCATAGCAACATTTTAGGTACGTTAAGAAATAAAATGTCCCTATGGAACTATTCCGCATGTCTTCTTTTTTAAAATTCTTACAAAAAAGTTTCAATACAATGTCAATTCAATTGAAAAAAAAAATATTTTCAAAATTTTCAATAATTGACAAATTAAAGCTTAAAGGAATGCTGCGCTACCAATTTTCTCCCAAAATATCTCAAAATAACAACTACGACGTGGTGCAATAAAAATAGCTCGATAATAAATTCGTGGAAATGCAAATATGCTTCAAAATATTTTTTGCAAATTTTTCGCGATTTTCAAATTTTTCTCACCTTTTAAACCTTCCCTGAAGCTCCACGGACATTTCAAGACTAAGATATGAAAAATCCGTTCAGCCGTTCTCGAGTTTTAGCGAGACTAACCAACAGCAATTCATTTATATATATGTATATGTATATATATGTATATAGATTAGAGTTAAATTTAATAATAAGAAATCGAAAAGAGAGAGTAAGATTAATCGTTATCATTATTTGCTCACGTTTTCCATAAAATCAAGATTTATTTAGTTTGAAAATATAAGTTACGTTATGTGAAGCAATTTGCATGGTATGTATAGGTTGTGAAATTTTTCTCAAATAAAACACTGTGAGACATGATAAAGTAAAGATTAAGCGGTTCCATTATGTGGAGCCTATACCAAAAACTATACCGTCAATAACGAGGGACGTTTCTAGCCCTATGGGGAATACCGAATTAAAGGCAATTAAATAGATATTTTGTTACTACCTCCCAAGTACTTAAATATAAGGATGCTTAAAAACACACAATAATGGAACAAATTGACTGTACAAATTCACATTATATCACATCAATTATAATAATAAAAATAAATATATACATAAAATAAGTATATCATATAAATATTAAAATATTTCATTTATATTCTACAAAAAAAATACATATATGTAGTTAAAAAGAAATTCAGTTTTTAATTAAGGATTCATATTATATCACATCAAAATTTCAGTTTT